CTTTCTGTCGAAAACAAACTTGCATAAAGTGATAAGCGCATCTTTCCGTTTGCAGTTCGTAGATGCGCCGCGCGCGCCGCGCTGCGAATAATGGGAGTCCTCGGTACGACGCCCCCTCTCATCGTCTCTCCTCCCGTTACCACGTGACACATGCGAAGCAGGCGCAGGTTAACAAGGCGAAAACGTTCGAGGAACCGAGTCGGACGAGCGACGAACCGACGAGCGCACGGGAATGGGGGAGAGGGTACGATACTCTCTCCCCATGCACGTGTGGCCTCGCAAGATAGCCAAGACGATGTTAAACTTATTAGTGAAAAAAAACCCGAGACTGAGGTAAAACAGACGACGACAAAAAAGAGAAGGAGAACGTCAGGGCGTTCTCCTTCTCTTCCTTGTCGTCGTCTGTTTTACCTCAGTCTCGGGTTTTTCACTAAAATGTTTAATATACACCAGCTCACTTGCGCCCTTACGTTCTGCTCATTAAGACAATGTTGGCTATCTTGCAAAGCTGCCCCCTTCTCATCCCTCCCTTTTGCACCGGCTCTGTCGTTTGTTGCACCAACGCATTGTCGAACCAAGTCAAATCGTGCCATGGAGGTGGTGCAAAATTAGTGGATTCGGTAACACTGTAAGACGTGAATTTAAGTTACGACGAATAACTTATTCAAATAATTGAATCTTCGCCTGCCGCGATGCATTTACGTTGCCGCAGATACAGTCCGCCGCCAACGAAGTACGGCGTTTCGGCGGAGTGGCGGGATGGCGGATGGCCGCGACGGCTGCTGGCAGTTGCTGCCGCGACGCACCCGCAGTCATGGAGGCGCAACGAGAAAGCGCGTGATATGTACCGAGGATTCTCAGAATCCACTGCCGTCGTTGCGCAGCACGTTTGGCGACAGGTTTATTGACGAGACCGTCCCCACCGTCTCCCTGTCCCTACCATGTCATGTGGCCCAGGTTCACGGGACCCCACTTTGTGTGCGCGCGTGCGTGCGTGTGTGTGTGTGCGTGCGTGTGTGTGTGTGTTTCGCGGGCTGGACTCCGTCACCCCTAGAGTTAAGTATATATAAATCATGCTTATTAATTAAGGTGTTTTGTTTTGTTAGGAAATCTTAGCTTTCCAGAGTTCAGTCCCCCGCGGTCGTTAAGAAGCGTCTTGGGTTTCGGGAGTCTGCTCGGACCGGGGCCGAAAGAGCACGCGCTGGAAGATGCTTGTGTCTTATAACCGAATGTGCGTGTATGCAGAGGGTTTTGGCGCTTAGTGTAAAATTGTCCTTTTTGCCCGATGCAATCATTTAGCGGTTGGCGCCAGTCAGGCTGGAAAAATTGCAGAGAACAACTCTACAAGGAATTTAGGTTTGGCGGTTGGAGCGCCAGGATGACAGCTCGCCGACCATTGGAGAAGAGTGTACCACGTGTGAGTCCCGGAATTCGAAGGGATTGGTCGGTTCCTGAGGGGAAAGGAGGCCCCTACGGGCCTACAAAAAGAGCGCAGAGAGGATTTTGAGAGATTCGGACTTTGGATTTGATGGAGAGAAATTGGGGACGGGGGTCGAGACTTTAGACGAGGCAGGATGGTCTCCCAAGTTGGGACCTGTAACTAGAGTGTAAATAAATGCACATAGTTCTATTGAAGCAGTGAGTCGACCCGTCACTCAGCGACATTCGTGCCACCACGCTCCAGACCATCGAAGCGGAACCTGCCTCCCACACCACCAGGAGGAACAACAACAACAACTTTAACTGGCGCAGTCGACAAGATGGTGGCGCGATTTCCGGTGAGACGACGTGGCGGCGACCTGCGGGCAAGTACGTGAGCTTCGGCTCAACGGCGGACGAGGCAGCCTCCCTGTGAGAAGCCTCGTGGGCTCCGACCCGGAATGACCAACACGGCATCCCCGTGAGAGGTCTTGGGGGTTTCGACCCGACGTCAACGGTGGACGAGGCAACATCCACGCGAGAAGCCTCGTGGGCTACGGCCCGAAGTGACCAGGACGACATCCCCGTGAGAGGTCTTGGGGGGTTTCGACCCGAGGTGGACGAGGCGACATCCCCGTGAGAGGCCTCATGGGTTTCGACCCGAAGAGAACAAGGCGACGTCCTCGTGAGAGGCCTTGTGGGTTACGACCCGAAGAGAACGAGCGGGCGGAGCAACATCTACGCGAGAAGCTTCGTGGGCTGCGGTCCAAAGCACAGCGACAACGCGGTATCGTCTGCGTGAGAGGCTGCGTGGTGTTACGACCCGAAGAACGGACCAGCCGCGCCCGACCCCAAGATCAACTCCGGCGGGTGACGTCCAGCGACACCGGAGCGTCATCGCCTCAGGAGCAGCGCACTGACACAGGTGGGGCTCACTTCTGTTTCCTCCGGATTTCGCATGTCAGTGGTGACTTGGTCGATGACCAAGGGGGCTCAGGAAGCGATGAGTGAGAGCGGCGATAAGAGCCCGGCCATGCTGGACGACGTGTCGGAGGGGGGAGGGAGTAAGATCGAGAACGCGCTTAAGCTAAAAATTGAAGCTCTAAAACTGCAACTCCAGCTCGCACAAATTAACGCGAAGCAGGCAGAGAAGGCGTGTTGCGGTGGAAAAGACGCGGGTAAAAGAAGCAAGATGTCGGCATGCGCAAAGGAGCTGCGCACTGTGTTGGCTCAGATGCCAGATGCCGAGACCATGGTCCCAGGGTGGTTCAAAAACATAGACACGCTTTTTGCGTCGCTGAGCATACCAGCGGAAGCACAGGAGGCCATCATTCTTCCGTTTCTAACGGAAAGAATGAGGGCTTTTAGCGCGAATCAGTCAGACGGACGGATAATGCCGTACCCAGAATTGAAAGAAAAACTTCTCAGGGAGCTTAAGATGACCACCAACGAATACCGGAGGTTATTCCTCACATCTCGAAAAACAGACGGCGAGAAACAGATGGCTCCAGACCATCGAAGCGGAACCTGCCTCCCGCGCCACCGGGAGGACCAGCAACTTTAACTCCGAGGCTGAGAGTGTAGTGGTAGCTAAGGTCCTCGATGAACCAATTGTACGTCTATCTTTCATCGCGTCAAGATGCTTCCTTCCATGAAAAGGAGGCGATTGACTGTCCGGCGGGCGCGTAGCTCCCCCGGTACTTTCAGCTTAGGAATGATCATCATGCTCGATTTTTTTTTTCGCTTTTAGGTATAGGCTTCTTGCATCTTAAGTCCCTTCCGGTTAGACTGAAAATTGACATTTTTCGTCTGGTATCACTACCTTGGCGCCATATTGAAGGCATCTCGCGTCTTATTGTGGCAGCAGTAGTGCCGTAGAGTTATAGAGCCGTCTTTGAATAACCACATTTCATAATTTGTTTTTGTCCTAATGAATTGCAAAGATGTTCCCTACCTGACACAAAAGGCAATCCACAGACCCTTAGTTTGGTTACAAAGCTTTTCTGTCGCCATCATAGAGTTAATATAAGAACGTAAAGCAGAAGGTCCCATCCATTTGGCCGGGACGGAACGGCGAGGCATAAACGCGGACATCGGCGGCCAAAGTTGGCGGGCCCGATGAGCCTATATCGCTGGCGACGTCTTAATAGGCACAACGAAGCAGCAAAACATCGCCTGTAAGCGACATAACCTTGTTTTTTTTTTTTTGTATTTCTTACTTTAAAAAAAAGAAAAAAAAAAAAAGAAAAGAAAACATCTGAATTGCGCGTTGACAAACTTAAATAAGGTAGACAACCGCTCGAGCGACCTCAAACTCTCGCGACAAAACGAACACACCTAAACCAGCCTATTTCAACATGCTTCCAATATTAAGCGCATGTTATTATCATAATGACATGGATCATTATATGCTACTGTGTTCTTGCATTGTCGATGAGCCAATGGTACTAACAGGCCAACATTGATTATTATAAGCTCGTGTTTATCCAACGTTTGAAAGCCAAAGGTACAGAGCTGCCAGCAGTGTCTATTTTTGCCAGTACCCATCAAATATTGGAATGCCGATGGTACTGACAGGGTAACGTTGATAATTTTATTGTAGTGTTCTTTCAAACTTAGAAAGCAATGATACCGAAAGGCCAAACATTGGCCGTTTTATGCCAGTATTCATCCAATATTCGCAAGCCAATGGAACTGACAGGCCAAAGTTGCCCATTTTATGCCAATGCACTTCCAGTATTGGCTGCCAGTGTATAAGTTGGGATATCACTGAAGATTTTGTATATTGACATAGACCATATTGGGAACAAATTGGCTAAAGTGGATCATACATAAAGCTATTTTTGACAGTGCTCTTACAATATTGACCCAACGCCGCGTGCTGCCTGGGTCTTGTCTTGGATGTGGCGGTGGTTGTAAGAGAGCTTCAGCAAAGCGACATCAAGTTTTCAAATAGCGGAAACAACACGCGGCCGACTCAACTAGTGTGGAGCAGCTGCTGCCGTTTGGAAAGTTTGGGCAGGATATCGAAACATTCGAAACGACAACAGGATGTAGACTCCGGTTTACTTTCGTTATACACAACATAATATTTGCTTGTTCAAAGCTCATCGTAAGATATTTGAACTCCACTTTTAACCCCCCCCCCCCCCCCGCCCTCTTCCCCAGTAACAAGCGAAGTTAAACCTAAACCTACATGAGCCTGATTTAAAAAAAAATATAAAAAAGTAATGTGATTTCCCACATGTCTGGCCTTCTGACTATACTGATCGTATAATGAAACCGGGCATATGGGCAGGAAGTATATTTAATGAAGGGCAGAGAATCGTGGCAATTCACCGATTCGCTCCTCTCGAACCGGGGAAACAGGCAATTTTACTCACACCAGCTGTGAATATTTTCCGTGCCAAGGAACTAGATTTGTGTCACGTGTAGGGCATGCGCGTGCGCCGTAATGCCAACAGCGCCACCACCGCGCCGCAATTCGCACAAAACGCACTGGTCTATAAAGCCCAACGCTCATTTCGCTGTGGCAATTTTAAGGAAAACCGAGAAGATCCATTCTGCGAGGTGAATCTACCATGGCAAGGATGCTCTACATCAGTCTTATTGCTGTCGGCGTTTTCTTGACTCCGCTGTGCAACGGCTGCAGCCCGAACTATTTGGAACTGAATCCAGCGCTTTCTAAGTATCAGAACGGCACGAAGGTACGAAGATCTAATCCAAGGCTATGTCCAATTTATCCGTATTCTTGCAGTGGCGCCTGAGTGTGTACTGCACTGTCGTGCGGTATGTACGCCAATTATTTGTCTTTCTTTAGACGTTTTGATCAATCGTAAAAGCGATTGGTGCAAATTCCAATACAAATGCCACCCCAGTGACAAATAGGGTGGACGCCTTTTTTCACCGAAGGCTGCACGATCATTAGGTCTAAACAATTTTAAAGATATCTTTGAGAATTTCGTGACCTCACAGGTTGTAATGAAAGGGGAGTAACTGCAACTGTTGTTTCCAGAATGAATCGCCGTTTGTTCAGTTTGGGTCATGGTGTGGGCACGCAATATACGTCATCGATGTGAAACCCGAAAACTAATATAATGCGTTGCAACCTTCTGGACATACAAAATATGAACATTTCAGTGGTTCTGCGTGCAGTTTTAGATTAGTCATTTTGAGTGGTTTCATGGCAGAATGAAACGCGTATTATAAAAACAAAGTGTGTTCTGTACCATTTGTTGAATTAATGGGAGTAAATGAACGGAGCTTTGCAACAAAAATATTTAAGGGAATAATTGCAACAGATAAATCAGATCATGATGTAGAAACCCGAGACTGTGGTAAAAACAGGGAAACGGTGTCGAAGAAGAAAGACAGGGGAAAAGAACGTCTCAAGCTTTTAGCACAGTCTCGGGTTTCTAAATCATGATCAACATCCACCAGCACGCTTGCGCACTCACTGTTTTTTCACATAAATCAGAGCAGCGAATATGGGTGAGCACGGGAGACGGATGTTCTTGTGAAGCGCGCGGCACACTTTTCGGGCCTTCTACGTCGGTTCTTTCATTCCAGCTTACGCAGAAAAATTAGTTATAATGACCCTTCTTGAGCGGTAAGATTATGGTTAAGCCAATTACTTCGTACCACATGTTTTTATGAGAGGAGTCAATGTTTTAAAGAAGAACAAAACCGAAGATATTTAGCATAAAACGTTGGTGTCAACAGGTTCGCATGAGGCAAGAAAAGCGTTGCAAAGCTTTATTCCCGCGCATAACATTTGGTGTAGCAGTTTAATGGCGTTATATGTTCGGGGTAAACTTCTCTCACACATGTTGCGCGATACTGATAGCGATGCATTACACGCTTTTAAGTATACACCGCGGGGTCGGGGCGTGAGAACACGGCACCGGCGCATTTGCTTTACTTTGCTAACGTTGCGGTATAAACATTGTACCTTATTCTGTGCCCCAGTCAGTGCCCCGCACGATCATGGCCCGTGAGTCATGCAGGTATGAATGGAAAGATTTTAGTTATGAGAAGTAAATAGGAGAAAGCAACGAAGGCCTTTTTTTGTTAACGTTGAAAAACATAAACGTTTTTGGTATAACATCTCTACTATATTACCTCTGGTAAAGAAAAAATAATATGTCCCTTGAACCTGTGTGCTGGGTTAAAGCCGTGGTTCGCAGAATGCGTTTCCATCTGCTTTGCGTCGCTGCCGTTCTATGTGAGATCCCATTTAACGCCGTTGAGTCAACATGTGTACTGAATTTTCCTTCGAAATTGCATGCGAAATACATCCATACAGCAGAAGCGTATTTAAACGCTATCCGCTATATTTAGCACGGCAGAACTCTCGCACCGCCTCGCTGCGTGATGTCTCACGGAAACTCGCTCTCCTGGCCATACGTGTATTGTTTGTTAAGATTACGCCTGGGAGTTTTCTAACCAGTGAACTATAAGCGACGTTAGGTTTACAGTGGTTCGTTGTAGTGATTGTCCCTGACGTGTTGTTCTTATGAAAAAGTTGCAACTATAGGTTTACAAACGCTCTATGCCTCAACGGGTTGTCCTTCTTTTTATTCCGCTCATGCAGTGCTTACCAATAACAGAAAAGTGGTACATAGTGTACAGGAACTACGAGAGTGACCCACTATTTGGAGGAAAAGCTCAGTGCGGCAAATTTTCGAGCCTGGGTCCGGAGGAAGATGGGGGATTTGCAATGAAACTCCAATTTAAGCACTGGTCAATGTAAGTATTGCTATAGGGATTGTCACAATGCGGATTCCCAACATGCAGAAAATAAATAAACTTTCGCAGCAGACAAAATAATTCCCTTAAGGTATGGCTAATTCCATTTCTAAGCCTGTAAAAGGTCAACAGAATAAGCGGTCAACACGGGCGTGATGAGAGAACAGCACGAACACATTGCATCTACGTGTACACTTCTTCCCCCTTTATTCTCGCTTGTCTTTCAGCTGATCACCTAGTCGGGGATGCGCTATAAATTGTTACCGATACGCATATATATATATATATATATATATATATATATATATATATATATATATATATATATATATATATATATATATATATATATATATATATATATATATATATATATATATATATATTGTTCTAAAAAAATGTGCTCTGGGCTGAGCAGCTTATATTAAGGGTTTCCCGGTAGCTGTATCCTTCAGATAAAAAGGACAGAGAAGCAAATCGGTGTGGTTATGGCTGCTGCTGTCGGTTGGAACAGCGCGTGTCCTTTTTGATCCGCACGTGAAGCCAGCCCCCCGTGCTGCTTCGTCGTGCTAGGCCAATGGCCGATACACCTTCCTTTCTTTACAAAAAAAAAATGAAATAAAACTTTCACACATATATACATTACACGCACACACACACATAAAAGAAAACTATCCGTCTTGCTCAAAGTTCTTGTCATAGGTTAGACGATGCGGAGGACACACTCGTCGGGATGATCTTCGGGGCGGAGGCGGCGATGGTGGGGTTTCCGGATGCTGACTGCAGGTGCTACCAAGACCGCTTCCTGAAGGAGTCATCTGTGGTGGCACAGTTTCGTCTCCAGTGTCGTACCCGTCAGAACCAGTTTCATCTGAAAAAAAGGCCTTTTGTTGAATTTTAAAAAAAATGTTGACGATTCCGGCGCATTTCTCGTCCCCTTTCCGTGTAAACTCGGTAGGAACTTGGCCCTCCGCTGCCTACCACCCGCGCTTTCGTGTCCCATGATTTGGGGCCTCTGACGTTAACACAATCTCCATCTTCCAGTGCGGGTAGTTGGTGTCCCTGATGCAAGTTCTGAGCATGCTTGCGCACGGCGCGAGCGGGCCGGGCTGTGAAGTCTGGAAAAAGAGTACGCGGCCTGCGCTTCATCAGTAGCTCTGCAGGCGCTTCTCCACACTCGAGTGGCGTCGCTCTATAGTTAAGTAAACCTAGCCAAAAATCTTCGCTGGAATGTAGACATTTTTTTAGGAGCCTCTTTACCACTTGAGCACCTTTCTCGGAGAGGCCGTTGGACCTGGGAAAGTGAGGACTGGAGGTCACATGCACGAAGTCAAAACGCGCAGCAAAATTTGTGAACTCTCGTGCAGTGAATTGTGGTCCCCCATCTGTGCATACTTCCATATGTATTCCGTGTCTTGAAAAAATGCTTGACAGAACGTCAGTAACTGTTTCAGACGTCGTGTCCGGCAGCTCAGAAACTTCCGGAAAATTTGAAGAGTAATCGTAGACGACTAAATAAGTCTTACCTGCGTACTGACACAGGTCTACGCCAACTCCCGCCCATGGCTGCTTAGGTGTTTCTCGCATCATCAGTGGTTCAACTGGGTGTTGATACACAAAATGTTTACAGGCGGAACACTTGCTTATCCACGCAACAATGTCAGCTGTCATTCCTGGCCAAAACATCAATTGCCGTGCACGAGATTTACATTTCCCTATTCCTAGATATCCGCTATGTACACGATGTAGCATCTCTCGTCTTAGACTTTGTGGTACAATAACTTTAATGCCCTTTAGCAGTATGCCAGCAATCACTGAAATTTCCGATAGGAATGGCTTAAACTTTCCTTGCAGTGGCGCTTTATTCATAAGGGCGTTGATGACGTCTTGCAGTTCGCCATCTTGCGCCGTTTCCTTGATGAGTTGTGTCCTGGTCTTGTCGCTGACAAGAGTAGCCAGTACAGCTGCTGCGAGGACCTCGACATCGCCTGTAGTTAAATCTGTGCTTCTTGTGTTTAGCCGGGACAGCGCATCTGCCAGTACAAGTTGCTTGCCGGGAACAAACTGTAACGTCAAATCGTATCGTATCAGTCGTAAAAAATCGCTGAAGTCGTGGCGGCATGTCTCCAATAGCTTTTTTTGCTATTGCTAGTAACGGACGATGGTCCGTTTCGATGGTGATGGACTGACCGTACACAAACTGGTGGAACTTTTCGCATCCATAGACTATGCCCAGACTTTCTTTTTCAATTTGTGAATATCTGCGTTCACTGTCTGTCAGTACACGTTATGCATATCCTACTGGGCGCCATTCTTTCCCGTGCTGCTGGAACAAGGCAGCCCCTAGTGCTGCCTTTCATGCGTCTGTAGACAGTTTAGTAGGTTTGGAGGGGTCAAACATAGCCAGTACTGAAGCTTCTGTCAGCATTCGCTTTAATGCACACCACTCACCAGTATGGGCACTGCTCCATTCGAAGACTGAGTCTTCTTTGATCAAGGCTCTAAGCAGAGTTGTTCGATCGGATAAATTAGGAATGAACTTTCCGAACGAACTAACTGCTCCCAGAAGGCGTTGAACCTCCTTCTTATTCTTGGGAAGTGGGAGGTCCTGAAGGCACTGTATGAGTTCAGGGTCTGGTGTGATTCCCCTCCAGCTTATGTTCTCGCCAAGGTAGCGTATCGCTTGGACACCAAACTGGCATTTCTCAGCATTGAGTGTTATTCCACCTCATCTTGCAGCTCTCAGTGCTGCTCTTAGTCGAAGGTCATGCTCTTCACGCGAAGAGCCCCAAACAAGAACATCGTCAATATAAACTCTGACACCTGGAAGATCGTCAAATATTTTGCTCATGACCTTTTGAAAAACCTCGGGTGCTGAAGCAATGCCGAAATGAAGTCTTAAATAACGACAGCGCCCAAAGGGTATCGCAAATGTAAAAATGTGGGACGTGTAGCTGTCAAGTGGAATTTGATGAAACCCGTTATTCGCGTCAAACTTCCTGAAATATTTTGCGCCTGTCAATTCTGCTTCGATATCTTCTCGACGCGGCAACTGAAAATGTTCTCGTTTCAAGGCGGCATTTACGTCCTCGGGGTCCATACAAACACGGATCTTCCCGTTTTTCTTCCTTACTACAACTAAAGGGCTTACCCAGTCAGTGGGCTCCTGGACCTTGGTGATTATACCGCCTGCGACCATCCTCTCAAGCTCGGCCTTCAAGGGGTCACTGAGAGCATGTGGAACACGTCGGGCTGGTATAACTACTGATTGTGAGTCTTCTTTGAGTACCATCTTGTACTCCCTCTTAGTTCTTCCGAGGCCCTGGAACAGTCCTGAGAATTCAGACATCACTCGCTGCTTAAGACTGCTGTGGTCACTTATCGAGTCCACTCTGTTAACTAGCCCAAACTGTTCACAGGCTTCAAGGCCGAGAAGGGCCTGCTTCCCTTTCTTCATGACAAAGAAGATAAGTCAACCTCTTCGTCCGTGAATCTTAACTTCGAGAGAAACTTTCCCAGCGTGCTCTAGTGGTGACCCTCCGTCAGAACGTAAGGTGGTGGAACTGTGCACCGGTGTTGTTGACAGCCGTAGCCCCTTGAACGTTGAGAGTGGTCGCAAATTAGCTTGGGCACCGGTGTCAACTTTTAAGCGGGCGTCGTGGCCGCCTTAAGCCTGTTTCACATGCAGCAATTTTGGCCCTAAAGCGGCGCGATTTCTGCCGTCGCGGCTCTCGTGCCGCTCAATTGCTGGTGCTGGCCAGAACGCCGCGACGGCAGAAATCGCGCCGCTCTAGGGCCAAAACCGCTGCATGTGAACTAGGCTTTACTTCGCGGTGATGATCGAGTCACGTTCTATTTCCTTTTTTCCGTTCACGGCTAGAATGTCAAAATCATCGGTGTCCCCGTCCGAGCTTGTTGCTGGATCGAGCACGTTGTCAACAGACTTCTTTGAGCTGTATACCTTGGCGAAGTGATTCCTCTTTCCACACTGTTTGCAAATCTTGCCATATGCTGAGCATCTGCGGGGCTCAAACAAAGCTGCAGTACTTGCACTCTTTTCTCGCTTGGCGCTTTTCGTTACGAGCGACGGGCTCGACATTTTGTTCCAGCTGTTCGAAAGCTTTGTTCTGGTGCTCGGATATCGCGGCGCACTTGCAGGAATCAACTGCCTTGACAAGGGTCAGATCCTTTTCTCGGAGAAGCCTTTCCCGAAGTTTTTTGTTGGATGTGCCATATACAATTTGGTCACGCAGCATGGAATCAGACAAATCCCCGAAGTTGCAGGTGCTTGCCTTTGTCTTCAGGTCAAGAAAGAAAGTCTCGAAACCTTCTCCAGGCTCCTGGACTCTGGTTCGAAAGATGTATCGCTAGTAGGTTTCGTTGACCCTCGGAAGCAGTATTCTTCGAACTGGTTCACCAACACCCCCCATCGCAGTTTTTCTTCTCGTCTTCCGTCAACTTGAATGTGTTCAACACGTCGATTGCTTCTTGACCGGCAATGTGGAGGAAGGTTGCAGCCTTTTGGTATTGCGTTCTTGGCTCCTTAGTCTCCGTGGCTGCGAAGTAAAGCTCCATCCGTTGCTTGAAGCGCTTCCAGTTCTCGGCAGCATTTTCAGATAGCCGCAGTCCTTCTGGTGGCTTCAGCTCAGCCATGTGGAATCTCAACTCTCACCTTTCGGCGGAAAGTTCTGACGCTTCTGACACCATGTATCGTTTAGATAAAAAGGACAGAGAAGCAAGTCGGTGTGGCCATGGCTGCTGCTGTCGGTTGGAACAGCGTGTGCCCTTTTTTATTCGCACGTGAAGCCAGCTCCCCGTGCTGCTTCTACTTCTGTTAAAAATATTTCGCATGTACAATTTTTTTTTCTTATATATATATATATTTATTTCTCAGTTTACTTATTATATACGCCAATATCTCCTTCATTATCTTTACACACTTCCGAAATTAGAAATATCCACTGCCATTTAAACGCTGCCTAACAGTCTACTGCATTACT